GCTGATCCAGAGTAAGTTCACATATACTCGCCATGACCTGTGTACTCTGTGTGTGTGTGTGTGTGTGTGTGCGCGCTGAGGACAGATGCTCTGGGCTTTGTCTGTTTTTAGATTTCTGTGGTAGGTTTCAGCCTTCACTCCACTACATTAACGAAACATATGTGGTGCAGCTTTTAATAGTATATTTAAAGAAATGAACAGCAACGTGTAGAAACAGGGTCCCCATATGTTTTGGGGGAGTTTCTCCTCAGTTTTGAGGGTCAAAGGGCAGAGGGTGTTGTACACTGCACTGACTATAAAACGCCTTGGGGCCAAGTTGTGATTTGTGGTTCTGGGCAGTGTAAATAAAACTGGACTCGACTTCTGGTGTTTCCAACCATGTTGCATGTCTGACTCGGTCCTTGCGTCTTCATCCAGTTGGGCTCATTCTGTGGAAATTCTTCCCTTTCCTGTTTTCAGGCCACATGGTGCACTTCAACTCCATCATTAACCACTTACCCAGTCCACAAGTGTCCATCCGCACAGTTCCAGGACCCCCCGGAGAACCTGGTCGACCGGGTTCTCCAGGACCCCAGGGAGAACAGGGACCCTCAGGAAGACCTGGTTTCCCAGGACAGAATGGACAGAACGGGCAACCGGGAGAAAGAGGTAAAGCCACGCAGAGGAGATCCAGAAGAGAGATAAAGCACCAGTCTGTGCTGGATTTTTGAAAAACATACCTGTTTCAGTCTCTTAAACCTCTGACCATGCCCACCATTGCAGCTGTCGGTCAGTGTGTTGTGTCTGTGGCCACACCACAGCACAACCATCCTCAGTAGGTCTGAAAATCATAGCTGGTATCCAGAAAGTTTCATGTGTTGATTCTGAGGGAGCAGCACTGAACACACAAGTGAACATCCACAAATGTCCTACAAAAATGTGACCAGTGGAACCAGACAGACCTGTCTGAAGGAGCCCACCTGAGCAACAAGACAGTCTGTTCTTCAAAAAAAAACAATCACAGACATTACATTGGCACTCACATGCCAAAGAAAAGCCTGTGGTAATGGTCGAACCTGTGACACTTCCAGCCTCAAAGAGTCCAAACATGAGTGGAAGACTTTGTCCACCTAATACTGTATCTGTAAGAAATGACTGCGTGTGTGTGCGTGTGTGTGTGTCTCCAGGTCAACCAGGAGAGAAGGGTGACAAGGGATCTCCAGGTGTAGGAGTCCAAGGCCCCAGAGGACCTTCAGGACCCCCAGGTCAGCTGTGCCATACATTCACAGACACAGTGTGGTCTTCCAGATGGTTTTTGCAAATTACAATAATAATAATAGTAGAAGAAATAATGTGGTGAAGAAAGTTTTATACATTTAGCACATCTTCCTTCATTCTTAGATGTGTACTTTTGTCTACTGAAATCTTCCTCCTCCCAGGTCCCCAGGGACAGGGCAGACCCGGCAGCCAGGGTCCATCAGGGAGACCTGGAAACCCTGGAGCCCCAGGTCGGCCTGGGGTCCCTGGACCTGTCGGCCCTGCGGGGCCTCCAGGCTACTGCGACCAGAACTCCTGTCTGGGCTACAATGTTGGAGGTACTCTTTAGATACAGTGTGCTTGTTTTGTAACGGTGGTACTGTAATGTACAATATCACCAGATCATAAAGAGGCAGTTTAACTGAATGAAATGAATCGTGAACCACACTATAGGACTATACCCTCGTCACTGGGACTGCTGGCAAGGTTGTAATGAGACTTATAAATATGGAAGAACCACATTTAAAGTTATAATTGTCCCATTTAGTGTCCAGTTGACTTGTTTCTACTGTACCTTACTGTCAGTTTGTTTAAATATGTGGACCTGTGCTGTTGAACTGAGCATGAATGAGTTTCAATCGTGGGTGTGTGTCTCGGATCGAAGGTCATCGAGTGAAATGTTTAATTCGTTCGGTTCCTTTTCATGTTGAAAAGCTGCCAGTGAGTTAAACAGGCTGCATGTTGCCGAGGCCGTCCATCCCACACCCGGTGTATCTGAGGGTGAAGAAACACCTTCAGATTCTGTATCACAGCTAAGATGCAGAATTCAGTTTGTGTGTGTTCAGGTTACAGCTCAGAAACGCAGGAGAAACTGTGACTTTAAAATGCTTTGTGGTTCCAAATAGCATGTGGTACATTTCACTTGTCTTGGATGCAACAAACTGACATCCTGTTTCCTAGCAATGACAATAGAAGACAGTGCAACAGAACTCACTGATCATGGTTTGTGCAGATGCAACATGTGAATTCATTAACTGTAGAGGTGCTATGGTGAGTTTTCTTACCGTTGGACAGAGCCTGTTTCCAGTTTCTGTACTAAGCTAAGTTAAACAGCTCATCTCTGGAGAAGCAGACATCCGCTCACACCTCTCTCACCCATGATGTTGGAGGTTAGCCACTAGCTACTACAACCTGCAGGCTAAGAGTGAGAGTGTACGGTTTTAAGAAACATTAAACAAATAAAACCAAAGCCACTCGATGTAAGTGAGAAGATGTGTGAAACAGATGTTGCTGTTATTCCTGAGTGTGTTCCTGCAGCGGTAGAACCTGCATGTAACCACATCACAGCCTGAATTCTGCATCTCAAGAGTTTTCATTTAAATCGCCCAGTTTTGTGGTTTGTTTGTGATTTGTGAGTCACTGCAAAGATGTAGCGTGAAGGGTTTTCTTACGCATATGTTACGAATTACATGCACCAGGACTTGTGCAACAAATTAGTTTACAAAGTTTCCATAAAAGATTTGTATCTGTCACGTGTTAACAAACGACTCCAGCTGTGTTTTCTCAGCCTTTCACAGCAATGGACACATGAAAAATTATGTTTTAACAGCTTCACAGTTAGTGCTGTGGGATTCATCACATGTCCAGTACAGTTTGTTAATCCAGACAACAAACATGGCATTTTATAGACTGGAAATACATTCATCTAATTAATTATGAAAGCAGCTGTGTGTGAAGAAAGCCATACATGAGTCATCTTTAAATGCATGATAATCTTTGTGTGCTGAGGTTAAAGGTCACACAGCAGTGTGAACAACGCTGTGCAGCTCGCAGCCTGCAGGCTGTGTGTTGTAATTGTTCCCCTGTCTTTGTATCCGTCTCTCTCCATCTCTGTCTGTCTGTCAATGTCTTGTTTTACAACCTTTCCTCTTCATAAGCCCCCGATCAGTATTTCACTGACAGCTGAGCCACGTTCACAGACACTGACAGCGACAACAGCAGGGATCAGCAGCAATAACTAAATCTTACAACTCTCCACAGATATAAAGTTACCCCTTAAACCCTAAAGCAGCTGTCTGCTGTAGTCTGTAGCAACACTAGTAAGTTTGTTGAGAGCAAGGAAAACGTAATGTCACCTGGTGGAACTGAGTTCTCACTCTGAACTCGTGCTGACTCGATTGTCCTCTCCCGTCTGTTCCTTTGAGGTCATGATGATCCAGTGCCTCTTTTTAAAGCTTTACTGACTTAGCAGAAACTCCAGTAACAAACTCTTTTTAGGCCCTAAAAGCTCATCTGTACAACAACATTTTATAGATTTTGCACGTTTTAACCTTAAGTATGCAGATACCTTTTATTTAAAAGATGCTACCTGAAAAGATCAAGTTACTTAAACAATGAGTAAGTTTGAATGTGATGTAATAAATAACAAATCTGAGGGCTGTCTGGGAAACATCTGCACCAAACTTCTCACCATTAAATCAAGCTAGTTTTGTGCTTCTTTAGCTTTGTATTCTAAGCTGAACCTTCCTCTAACTGTGCTTTCAGTACGTATCTGATAACCCTGACTCAGTAACCTCTGGTAACCCTTGTTCGTCTGTCTCTCACTCTGTCCTTCTTATACCGCCCTCTCTAACCCAATCATAACCCAACAAACCAATCCAAATCATTGCTTCCTGTGGTGGCGGGTCTTCCCCGTTTGTTTTGGCCTCTTGCTGACTGTGTCTGGCGTGCTGGCTGGCTCACTGCCTGGTTGGTGTGCAATGCAGAGGGTGAGGATGACACTGACAGCGGCGCTATCCCCGCAGTCCAACTGCCACCTAGCGTCTACCAGAACTACGGCGAGGTGGAGGAAGATGACCCCTATCGCTACTACCAGCCCAACTACCCAGCCCCGCAGCCTGTGTCACCCGACGATCCTGCGCTTACCGAGGATGACATTGAGCTGAGGTCCCCTGGTGTCCATCGCAGCTACCGGAGCCTGGAGGGGCAGGAGGAGGGAGATGGGCCGAAGAGAAGACTAAAGAGAGGAATGGAGGCACTGCATGAACTAAATGACTGAGAGGAGGCGATTGGAGGATGGAGCACCGCTCGTTGTTTCTGATTGGGCGGTTTGGACTAATCAGCAAGTGCCTGATGTCGAGGATTTCTTTGGGACATAGTTGAGGGAACAGGGTGGGGGTATCAGGTTGGGACGATCTTAACTCATCTATGCCACTGAATTAACAGTTTGATGTCATTTTGTTTAGTTTGTGTTACGTTTGTCTCAGCAGACACAGTCGCTTTAAAAAGATTGAGACTGTGAAACATTTGGCCGTCGCTCCTGGTTTTGGCTTTACTATGGCTGTCGGTTATTTACCAGGTTGGTTAAGTGCCTCCTAATTGTCTTACTAGAAAAAGCAGTGGTGATAAATCAGTGCAGCACTACAACCTCACACTTGTGCGCAGAACCACAAGCAGCACTGTCACACTCAGTCTTTGTCTGTGTTTACCTGAGGTTTTGTTTCAGCCTTTCAGTTTTACGACCATAGACGTCCCAGCTCACATCAGGATGCATACGTACACAAAACAAGGTTTAGTTTTGATTTTATACACGTTTAGTTAAAGTGAAGACTGGTTGGTGCAGTACGGTGTTTCACCTGCCTACATGGTGTCCCTGCTCTGCTCTGCTTGACATGTGTCAGTGTCAGCAGTGCTGCAGTGGCTGCAGACCGGGTGTGAGCTCACAAGATGGTCAAAAACTACCGGTGAGGTTTCCAGTGTGAACGGCATGATGGGAAATGATGGGAAATGTAATGCTTTGTATCGTGCCTGCACAGTGAGGGAGAGAGTTTAAAGATGTTTTCAGATAAAGTGATCAGATTTTAATGTGTGCAGAAGCTTCAGAAGTAGGTTTATTAATTGCCAAACCCATGACAACACCACACTCGTGTTCTGTTATTACATTTTAGCTCCTGTCATCTCTCTCATAAATAAGCTGTAACTTCAGTTTTAAATTTTTAGGTCTGTAAAGAACTGATTAGATGAGCAGAGATGGTAGATACCAGATTCAGCTTCTGCATGCCCTGAGCAGGTAAACACAAACTGTACAAACACTCAGGGCACTGTTTTGATGATCCACAGCGTCTGAACAAGATGTATTGGTGCAAGTGGTGTTTGGGTGTGTCCACATTCATTTAGGTAATTTGACGACAAGAAAAAATGGTTCGCCATTTGCGCTAATACATCTTGTTTAGACGCAGTGGATCCTCAAAACAGAGCCCCAATGTCTCGTATGTGAATCCCATGTACCTGTCCAAACCACTTCCTGTCAAGTCAGTATGAAGGTGATGTTCTCTCTATGTCAACAAACATAAAACACAGACACTTCCTCCAGATGACTGACCCAGAAATCCACAGAAAGCAGTGATTTCTATCGGCTCCTTTAGTTTGTTTTAAAGGCTCCAAAACTCACTAAACAACAAAAACATTTATTTATGTACAGTTTTGCATGTTTTTCTTTCCCATTTACCATGTGATGTATTGTTTCTATCTCACAGAGCCATAGACACATTTTACTGTTACACATAAGGATCTTTGTGAGACTTTGACTGACTGGAGTTATGTTGTTGCCGTACCAAGCTGCTGATGTTGCTCTGTATTTGAGAAGGTTGATAAAAAGAGCAAACATTAACAGCTCAGTTTGATACAGCTACTATGCTTCAGTGTAAAAGCCTGTGCTTTGTGACCAGGTTTTTTGGTCTGGTTGTCACCGGCTGTCAGAGTCTGGGTCGAGGGATTAGCTGTAAAAGACCTGACAGACTGTAGCATGACACTGACGGCTGTTTCACACCCTGTGAGCTCTGCTCTGTCTTTGGATCATCTTTGGACCCCCTTTCTAACATTTATTGCTCAACTCGTGCAAGTTAAGTTCCAGGACGAGACTCTGATCCCACTCATTGATTTTCATCTTTTATGCAGAAACTAGAGGCTGAGTTGGAAACAGAAGCAGAAATAGCAATGTTTCCTTTTGTTTTACTGCTGGAGACCCATTAGATAACAGGAAGCCGAGTTATTGGGAAGAAGGTGAGCCTTGTTTTTATCTCTGAGCGAAATTCAAGCACACCTCTGACCAGGAGGTTTAAGAAATAAGATCAAGGAAGTAATTTATTTTTTACTTGGTATTGATTTTCTCACAACAATAAAACTGAAGTCCAACTGTTGCTGGTTGTGTGTTGTGTGGGTGTGTGTGTGTGTGGACTGTTCGGTGTTTCTGTTCCTCAGCAGGTGACAGCCGGGACGTGTAAACAGGAAGCTGAGCCTGAACACTGAGGCATTTTGGAGCAGGTCAGTTCAACTCAAAGCCGAGTTGAACTGACCTGGAGCATCATTACTGAGCCAAGAAGTTGGGTAAAAAGACCTAAAGTCTGAGCCAAGAAGTTGGGTAAAAAGACCTGAAGTCCAAACTTTTTGTTTTGTTACTTGGCCCTCAGGCCTGAACATCGTCATGGATAAAGTTTTCTTAGTAATATTATCTAATCTTCTTCCTTATCTGCTGTCATTTTTAATTATTACCCTGCTCTGCATCTACATTTCACTGCCCTTTTCTGACACTGCTCCCATATCAACCAGCCAGATGCAAAAATAAAATCTCTATTCAAAGAGTCTTTTATAGTTTTCCACTTTAAAAGCTTGTTTCATATCACTGTTGTGGTTTATGGAAAGATTTTGTTACAAGAATTTGTTTTAAAAGGCGGTAAACCATTGGTACTGTACGCGTCATCTTCACTGTGATAGGAGTGGCTTCGCTCATGCTGGGTGTGAGCACCTCCTTTGGAAGAAAAGCAACTATCTTAAACACATGCAATAGTCATAAGTCAAAAATAAGACTTCCTTTAATGCTTCCTTTAAGTCTCTGCTGATACAGATCTAAAAATAAAGACAGCCTTCATCCTGAGGTCTGTGAGGTGCAGTGATGAATGCTGACTGACGTGATTTCGTGTGCAGCAAAATGCACGGGGGGGGCATCACTGAGGCAGAGAGATCGGCTGCCTGTTTGTGTGCAGGTTAAACCAGACAAACAAACCTACTGTGTTCATGCAGAAATGACCGAACTTCCAGCTGCATTACGGAGAAACATTTGGCAGCCTGTTTGCACATCTGTCTTTTATTTTGTCATCACTCTCTATGACATCTTAACGTTATAGTCTGTCACTTGTCGTCCTGAAGAGACAGACGCAGTGTTGGTGTGAATCTGTCCTGTGGGCTAAAGCTCCTCCGTCTGTAACAAGAAGATGACAACCAGTAATTATTCAGAGCAGCTTCCCCTTGAAAACACATCACAGCTTGTCTGAAGTATCATCTTTGATTCTGACCAGATTTAAACAGATTCAACATCTTCATGCACTCACGAGCTGCTTACTTAAAAATTGTTTGTGATGAGAAAAAAAAAAAGTTTTTGTTTATGTACCAAAGTCATAGAGGAGGAAGCGGTTAAAATCCTTGTGTTTAAATAGAACATTTTTACAGCACGTGGGTTTATTTATTTTAGTGCAGGTCTCTTTCTCATCCAGACTTTTGATATTTCATAACTTTTTCGCACCCACAAAGTTATGACATTACTCAGCTTCCTCACAGGAAGTTGTTGTCTGACTCTGAACACCTTTATTTCCCTGAAGCAGAGCATCAGATGCTGCCTGTGAACCAGAGAGGACCCAGCTTGTGTAGCTCTAGATTCACCACATTTCAGTCCTTTTCTAAACGGTGAGCTTAAAGTTCAGAAACATCAGGCTGAGAGGTGTCAACGCTATAGCACACACACACACGCTTTGACATGAGCAGGAAGTGATGGTTTTCAGCTACAGTGCCTTGCGAAAGTATTCGGCCCCCTGGGGCAATGGGCAAAAATTTCAGTCTCTCGATGTCCAAAACTGATGGAGACATGCCCCAAGCGACTTACAGCTGTAATCGCAGCAAAAGGTGGCGCTACAAAGTATTAACTTAAGGGGGCTGAATAATTTTGCATGCCCAATTTTTCAGTTTTTTATTTGTTAAAAAAGTTTGAAATATCCAATAAATTTCGTTCCACTTCATGATTGTGTCCCACTTGTTGTTGATTCTTCACAAAAAATTACAGTTTTATATCTTTATGTTTGAAGCCTGAAATGTGGCAAAAGGTCGCAAAGTTCAAGGGGGCCGAATACTTTCGCAAGGCACTGTACGCACACATTGGACTTTCTGTCGTTGTGAGGTCACTGCCTAATTTTAACCTGAACCCTAAATCTGAGTTTAATCCTCGAATAGTCCTTTGAAGGTGAAGGAGAAGGAGGAGGCCAAACAACAGTGGAACTAAACAAAAATGTATCCACACAACTAGTGGAAGCTGTGTAGTCTCTGGCGAGAGTCAATCTGTGTGTGTGTGTGTGTGTGTGTGTGAGAGAGAGAGAACAGGAGGTGGAAGCGCTGCCTCTCAGCCGACTGGCGAGCCTCTTGTGTGTGAAAGTGAGCTACAGTAGTTATGAGTGTGATTCATTCTGGTTTGCAGAGTGGGATGTGGGCAGGGAAATCCAATTTCACCTGTGTCACCACGGAGACATCGGCTGCTGCTGCTTGTGCTACGACTGATGCCTTTTAGTTATTAAGCTATAGCACCAGAAGAATTCAATGTGTTGAGGACTGGACTGTCGATGCCCTTCATATCAGTTCAACGCAACCACACGAGCTGTGCTCTGTTACTTTTACCTGGTTTCTCTCTGTTCCCCTCTTCACCACGTCGTACGACCTCAGTGAAGACTCAGCCACTTCAGCTCATACAGGGATGTCTTTGCCTGCACCCAGATGGAATTTGTCCTTCACATCCACTTAGATATGTCGTTTATATTGGCGTGTACCGTGCTGGGTGTAAATCCACAACATGGTGGCATTGCTGGAGCAGAGTCCAACAAATCTCTTCTCATGGTGGAAATACAAGGTGCACGTATCCACCCACTTCTGATGAATAGTTTTCTTGGCCACTAACAAATCCACCTTCTAATTGTCATGAAGGTCAGGTTGTCAGTTCATAAGCAGACGTAACAGAGTGGAAAGGAGTCGGCATGCTTCATATGATGCCAACGTCAGACCTCAGATGGGTGCATCCACAGCTTCTGTAACTCTGTGGAAACACCAGTCCTCGTGATCACAGTCAGTCTTTGTAGTGAGCGTGGAGGTGAGAAAGGAACCAGGGTCTGATCTCCTCTCTCCAGTACAACACCATAAATGTCTCCAAACATGCCATGACCCAGATGCTTTATTACCTGGTTTGAGTTAAAATATCACTTCACGTTGCTCTGGCCAATAAAGATGCCTGATGGTGTTTTCACAGGTTGAGTGCTCAGCCCCTGCACCACAAACATTTATGGTTTGCTTTTCCTGGTGCCCAAGATGTTTATTATTTCAGTTTTCTGTTACATGAAGCAGATCGCTGTTATAGTGTGACCACAAAGCAAATCTTGGCCCAGGTGGTCCTATAGCACAGAACAACTGTGAACATGACACAGAACCCAGGAGGAACTGCATCTCCCCTGTACCTACCTGTACCTGTCCAACAGATTCATTCCCAGTATCTGTCTGAAGGTTTGTAGAGTCTGACGCTCTCTCCAAGTGTAAACATTTGTACTGATGAAGCTAAACCAAGTGCAGAGTGCACACTATGTGGATCGGGGACATGGGGGTGTAGAGTTTTTTCCAGTCCACTCCTGACTTTGTAGAAACAGCTGGCAGTGACTGGTACCAGCCAAACCTCCAGACTCCTGCTGATATTAGACATTTTTTAACTGCAAAAAGACATATCTAACTGGCAGCACCTTTACAAAGGCCACTCTCCTCGCCCCCGTTCAGTGGTTTGTGTTGGAGGACACTCATGACAGGCTGCCATCATCAGAAGAGCTCATAGTGGTTAAATACAGCAATTACAGCTCTTTGGTGCTGATGAGGTTGATTGCAATTATCTGTACAGTTAAAGTAGGATCCAAATTACAGTTTGGGATGAACATGTTTGATCCCTTTGTCTGAGTGTGATTTTTACTGGATTCACAATCTGCACTAGAACTGGAGAGCTGGAAAAAAAAGTCCAATATCTGCTGCTGTTGTCTGTCTGCACTTCTATGTTTTCACACAGCAGCCTCTGTCACACACGCTTCCCAGATTCATTGCCTTTGGGATTTTACCTTGTCCTTGCACTGACCTTTGACCTCTGACGGAGCTGTCTGACTGCTGAGCAGTTACAACCTGCTCCTCTGGGCCTGGTTAACCCACGGCGCTCAGCCTCCACAGTGACTAAATGGTGCCCTCGTGTGCTGACGGTGATGTACAACAGTAACACTGTTTCTTTTAAGAATCCGAAGGTGCTTTGTACATTTAAGATGACAGAGAAATGAAAAAAGCGGTTCCTCTCTGCTGCATTTACAGGCACCGTTTTCTTGGCATTAACATGCGAAGTTAGGTGTTGCATTTCAGTGTATTAAATTTTGATACCTTAATATGATTTTATGTAAATTAAGGTAAATTAGCTTATAGTGGAGATGATTAAGTAGACTACAGTGTACATGTATGTTCTTGTTGTAGTCATGACTATTTAATGCCACAGAGAAATAACAGATTTTAAACCAATCCAGTGGTTTAACCCCTCGCTTTGACGCAGTACAGCAGAAGAGGATCCAGGTGTGATTTTAAGTGCAGCACAGCCATGTTTCTGATCACACCCAACCACACCTTTCAGTGATGTGGATGGTGCCGGAGGAAAAGTTTCAATTTATTTAACTGCATATCAGCCAAAGAACACACACTTTACTAGTTTACAAAAAAACACCCCTTCATATGCAAAATCTGGGTAAATAATTAAATGAGTTGATAAGTTCCCAGCCAGTGAAACTAAGAGAGACCATAGCATATGCAGAATTTTTAAATTTTTATTCAACAGTCATATTCAAATACACACTGCGCCTCGGTGCACCGCAAGTGAAACTCGTCTGAACCACACTGGAAGCTACCATACATTATGAGCGCTGCTGTAGGTGTTTGTGAAATGCCACAGACAGTTTCCTGTGTGTTTATTGTGCAAGAGTTAAACACAGAGAATGGAAGTCCTGAATCAGATGCCATGTGGGAGATTTGTTACTGCACAGAAATCATCTTTTATCTGGCACATGCAGCTCACATTTGGATAAAAATCTGACAAACTAAA